CCCCCCCCCCCCCCCCAACCACCAGATTATGCTGGATCCATCCCTGCCGATACGCCGATATGGATGTATCACTACGTAAGTCTGCAACGCAGGTGCAAAATGCAAGACAGTGTGAATCCAGCTTCCCAGGGCGGTAATTCAGTGTAAATAGTTTTGAAGAAGATGAATGTTGATATGTACCTGACGAACCATAAACGCGACAACATCTTTCGACTCCCAGTAGCTGATGTGCGACAGCGGGCACAAAACTGACAGCGGTAGTTGTTGTAGACTTTTTGGACAATATAAAGCGTAGTCGATTCGTTCGTTTCCCCACCAATTCTGCACACCTAGAGAATGGGAGAGTACATGAGAAAATATGGTGGATCACATTTTACAAATTTTTCTTTCCGAGGAAAATTTTCTAGAGTCGAAATGGGCCTTAAGGAGAGCAGTTTAGAACTGATAAGTGCTGTGATCCTAAAATGACCCTAGTACCCATCAACCATCATCATTGCCATTGTATATCCCTAACCTTCCCTCACTGCATCTGAGACAGAGAAATCCAGTTGCTCCAAAGACACAGTACTACATGTACTCATATTACTGAAAGTTCTTCCCACTTTAGTCTTCTCGCCTTGTCTTGGCTTTTCCCGAAATAATTCCGGTCTTCCGCCAATCACGGCCGTGACGTCACTGCACACGCCATCACCTCGTGGGAATTTTTGATAACGGGGCACGTTCACGGACGATACTTGAGAGAACTGGGACAGAATGAGTGGTTCAATGCGGGCTGAGAGAGGTTCGAAGGGATGGAATAAGTTGTACACCTGACCGCAGGCTGGTTTCACCGGTGCACCTAAAGTGATCAATGCAAGATAAATTGAAAGGTATGATATATGACCATGCTACAGTATGTTATTCCAAACTAATCTAACTTTTGTCATAGTGAATAGCTCTATCAGTTCTAAACTGTTCTCCCTAAAGGTCAAACTGGACGTGTACTCTTCTCACATGGCGACTGGGGTGAAATTATAATCAAACAACCGCATATTGTAGGAATGGCACGGATGCGCTAACCACTTGTTAAATTTGAATACAAACACTTACTCATTTTATCAGAAAACGCAGAGAGCCTCTTCTGTAGCAGAACCAAGCCAATAGGAGAACCGAAGGCAAAAAACTTGGACACATCAAATTCAAGTTTCTTAACTTTGTACGGAATGCATACCGCATACGTTTCATCCAAACCGTCCTCTACGGAGGCGCTCTTCCTGCTTCCTATGCTATATGCTCTCTTAGGGAAGTCCATGTCGGGGTCATATTGTGGATCACGAATGTTTATGTCACTGCTACTTAGACGTAACTTTCTCATAGAATGATCGCTTACACTCAATTTACTGTCAAAATGTTTGTCCTGTTTTGAGATAGGGCTGACAGGATTGGACGGGTTTGTTTCGAAGCTACCAATGCTCCAATTTTCTTGGCACATCGCTTCATACGCTAGCAACGCACCGACACAGTCGCCCACTATACATACCTAAACAAACATATTGTGGGACGTTGTATAGTATATAATGCTACAACAACTACAACAGCAGCAACAACAACAGCAACAACAACATGCTAACAACAACAGTCACAACGACTACAGCAACAACAATAACATGTCAACAACAACAGTCACAACGACTACAGCAACAACAACAACCTGTCAACAACAACATGTCAACAACAACATGTCAATAACAACATGTCAACAGCAACATGTCAACAGCAACATGTCAACAACAACATGTCAACAACAACATGTCAACAACAACATGTCAACAACAACATGTCAACAGCAACATGTCAACAGCAACATGTCAACAACAACACGTCAACAACAACACGTCAACAGCAACACGTCAACAACAACATGTCAACAACAACATGTCAACAACAACATGTCAACAACATGACAACAACAACATGTCAACAACAACAGTCACAACGACTACAACAGCAACAGAGTCACAGCAACTACACAAACAACAGTCACAACAATACCATGTCAACGACAACAGTCACAACAACTAGAACAGCAACATGTCAACGACAACAGTCACAACAACACTATTGCGCAAACTCACCTCGCCATTAAAACCAGCTCCAGTTTCAGAATTTACAAACTCTCGATAGACTGTATTCGCTCTGGTAATGGTCGCATCAACCATTTCTGAGAAATTGCTGGAACATGCAGCCAGAATTGAGAGCGACGACACAGGAAAATTGAATGAAGCTAGACATGGCTGAGAGTCTAATATTAAAATAACGATACATGGATTTCACTAAGCATATCGTGCAGCAGATGGTGATCAACCTGCAGTTATCAGAGTGAGAAAATGATGGTAATTGTTTTCATTGTATGGAGTAGTTACAAGCTTGAGATGTATAATTCTCTTGCTTCTGTAATGTCAAAATTTCTGAATGTTTGTGATGTTACTCTGAGTGTGCATCCACACCGGGCAAGCTGAAAAGTTTACCTGACCACGGTGAGAATCTATAGTATCCCAAAGGTCGCGGGTTCGATACCCATCGCACAAACATCATATTCACCTGAGTACACAACACCAACACACAAAAATATCATTTCTGAAGTTAGTGACCATCAGGCGCTCTGTTATATTGATATCAACCAATAGAACTTGATTATGGGTCCATGCGTAGCCAATCAGAAAGCAGTATGTATACAAATTTCCAAGAACTCACCTCCTGTACGCTCGTCCGTCATCTGCGGAGTGATATCCTTCAACGCTGGTAAAACATCTTTAAACACGTGAGGACATTCGACCAACCGGAACGCGATACGTTCCAGACCCTCCTTATAATGATTCTCCATGACGTTCTGAAACTCTCGCCTCAGTCTCTCGCAGTCATTTTCTTTGGACTTGATGTCGGGCGTGGGCTCCAGCGGGTTTCCTCCGTGTACGATAAGCAGAAGCACTCTAACACGACAAGTTGAGGTTGACGATGAGGCTGTCGAGATCGAACTGCTTGCACTGACGGTTTTTCGTACGGGTATCTTTTTAAATCGGCGTTCGTTTGTATCCTGGGAGGACTGATTAAAATTAAGAAATGATGTCGAGATATGGACAATATATATAGTTTTACCTCTTTGGCTGTGATTCGATTCTTGCAATATGCAATGGATTACTCCAGCTGCAGACGAAATTTTGTTATAAAATAACATGTATATAACGCGTATTCTGATTGGCGAAAGCCGTGTTTGGATCAGGCCATCCAAACACGGAAGACTACCGTGTTGTTGTTATTTTATAAAACAATTACTTTATGGTTTCCGTGTTTGGATGGACTGATCCAAACACTTGGGAATGTTGCTCGAGTTAAGAAAAGCGGGCAAGATCACTCGCCTTCGGCTCGTGTTTCGCTCGCTTTTCTTAACTCTTGCAACATTCCCGCGTGTTTGGATCAGGCCATCCAAACGCGGAAACCATAAAGTAATTGTATAATCTAGACAAGAACAACGAAATCCATTACCATAGCTGGAAAGAGCATCTTAAAGTAAGTAAAATTGCAAGGTTTCGTTAGGAATTGTTGTAAAATGAGGAAAATGTAGCCCTGTCAAGTTTGCAAATTTTGTATATATTTGCATGACGCGCGGGAAAAATAATCATTTTTGAGCCGAAAGTGGTTATTTTTACCGCGAGTAATACAAATATTGATACAAAATTTGCGAACTTCACAGGGCTATATTTTCTTCATTTTACAACATTTAGCAACCAATCTTTGCAGTTTTACTCATTCTAAGACGCTCTTTCTAGCTGTGATGTTGGATTCAGTGGTTGGATTTTGTTCTTCTTGCCTGGCTTGATCAAAATTTAGTCTATATAGCTGGAATCACCTACTGTGTGATCATAATTTCTCCACGGTGCCATCTACCGATTGAGCATTGGACTGATAAAGGATGACCCTTACTGGACCTCTAGGGAGAACAGTTTAAAACTGCCGATCGAGTATATAGTTTCATCTAAAATATGACTTCATATTTGAAACTTACTGCATCGGAGTCGAGTGAATCCACACTCCCACCAGAGTGAGAGTTTCGATCGAGATCTTTCGATACAGAGAGAAATAATTCATTGTTTTCTTCGCTTGAAGACTCACTGTTGAAATTATCTGTAAGAAATGAAATGACACAAGAGCTTATAAAGTGTTCAACCCCACCTGGCTTATTTTGAAAGCCCTGTGGAGTGGCATTCTACCTTTCTTAAAGGTCATTCTTACTTACCTTCAGCGTCAAAAAACTCATCATCAGTGTCACTGCTGTTAAAGCTTCCGATACTCCACGTGATATCAGACTTTCTTTCATCTTGCTCGACAGTGCTTGCTTCCATCGACTCTTGTGACAACAGCTCAATAGTCGAACCACGTCCGTTCGAATTGATTAATGGACGGCGTTTTAATGTTCCTTCATCATCCTCGTTTGACATACTGCTTAAATTTGGATTCGAAACGTTCTCCATTTTCTTCGCTAGCATTCGCTGTGTTTCTTTCTCCAGTTCGCGGATATCACTGATCGTCAGACCATACCATTCATCTTGCCACACCCACGCTTGACGGTGACCCATTAGCATCGGCTTTCGTAGACCGTCGTGAATAAATTGCTCAATTTTACCCTAAGACGTTAATACAAGGTCATACTCATCCATGCCTTTGGAAACAACCGCAAACTAATGGCAGGGTTTTTACATGTCAAAAAGAGTCGAATTCAAGGACTTTTTAAGGACATTCAAGGCCATGTATCAGCAAATTCAAGACAGAGCTATCCAGTATAAATAGATTTCCTCTTGGATCAAAGTAACACTTGACTAATGCAGAATAACCCACTATATAATGACTAATACACGATAAATGTAAATTTAAGACAACACTTGACTAATACAGGATAAATGTAAATTTAAATGCACATTTTAGTAAATTTAAACTTTTTGTAAATATAGCAATAGAACGAAAATAAGCACTGTAAATTAGAGATGAATGTATGTATGAATGTAACCTTTACTGGAGCTCTATAAAAACAGTAAAGAACTACCCAGTACAAAGTTAGGCCATGTTTTCACATTCTAAAATGATTGTTTATACAGTAAACAATGTACCTGCATTCCCCAATACCTAAATTCAACTGTGATCTTTTTATAAGCACACATGACTGATTGTTGTGGTTGATTCAGCCAATCAGGAGTTAGCGGTCCTCGGCCCGTTTTCTTAGAAACGTACAACAACGGGTCCTCTTCCTCGGAATATTGACTGCTCGGGACGGGATCCTTCACTGGATCAATTAAATCTAAACAGTTGCGGGAATGAAAATTGTAAAAATAATAGTTTCATTAGTTCTTGAGGTTGATGAATGTTGTGCAAAAATTGATTGAACATTATTTTTAAGCGAATCATTACCAACTGTCTGGTTCCTAAGCTGTGCAGGGGACAATTTGAAAACATTTTCCTAAAGGATAAAAAACATTTAATAGTCTATGACAATTATACAGTGACAATTAAACTGTTGGACCGAGTCTGGCTGAGGGCCCGGATATAAGGTGTGTTAAGGCCGGTGTGCTAAAGCCGGTTTTCTATTAGGCAAATTTGTTTGCACAAAGTGACTTTTTCTTTTTTCCTGATTGCTTTTGCTGACGTGATAAGTGATTCCAACAAAGGAAAGAGTCACTTGGTCACTTCATACAAACAAAGTGGAAAACAGGCCTAACTCACAGAGGACTGAAGTGCAAATCCAATTACTCATAATATGAAGAAAAAAGATATCACACCGTAGATCCTCCATCAGGCAAGTATGTTGTCTCGACATCGACATAAAACTTATCAACAAACGGACAGGTGGTCTTCATCTTGGTATAAGGATAAGCATTCCATGCCTCTTCGATCACCTGGAGGGCAGATTTTGGTACTATTGCTTTCAACCACCCAGGTATATGGTTACCAATGTGGTAAATTTTCTTGGTATACTGGCCAGAACCTCCTGGACCATTTGTATATGGCCGGTTCTCGATGATCTCAACACCACTCCCTTCACCAGTGCTGTCAAGACGACTCTTTTTCTGTAATTATTGAAATACCTCTCAGGCCAAAATGCTCTTCACCGATTTCATAGGGAGGGGGCAACCCCCTCCACCAATAATGTTCAAAAACCTTTGACTGATAGCTGTGTAACAAGGTTGTAACAAGTTTTTTCCTACATGTTTTCTACTCACTGAGAGACAAGTGTTGAGCATTATAAGTTAACATGCAATCTCTCTATGCCAAGTAAAATCATCTGGCATAAGTCAGAGAAGAAGTAAGAGGCAGAATGGGACACACCAGCTGGGTTATGCATTTATTGGCTGGTCTACACTATCAAAGCTTCTGTCATCACAGTAGGAACTTTGCATAGGTAAGTTTTTGAAGGATTTGTAAGAAATGTTTGAGGGAACTAGCTGACTCAATTTTGCTTCATTTCATTTCCCTCAAACATTTCTTACAAATCCTTCAAAACTTATAATTTACCTATATGCAAAATTCCTACTGTGATCATGCAGAGAACAGCCTTATGTATGACAGTATGAGCTCAAATTTTGAGGTGGAAGGCACGAGTAGTTGTACTGAGCAGCTGGTGTAACTGTTGCAGATATGTCACTGTTATACTTTCCTGGTTTCATAAAGAGTTTAGTGCTAAATGACATGTGACACTTGTCACAGCGAATATTGAAATATTTTATGCGGCTACTATTAAAGCGTTAATGGTCTTCAATTCCTATTTAATTTGCAAATTGTAAAAGTACAGCTGCTGTATATGAGCTCGTTATCAAAAGTTAGCATGAAAGACAATATAAACCCGTATGTAGACTGTGCACAAATAAACTGCATAACGTTGATGACGGTTTAGCGACGTTAACATTGATATATAAAGTTTGAAAGTTGGGGGCAAGGAAAATGTACCTCAATACATGCAATTGGCTCGTTAACAAAGCATGTTTTCCGTGCATCGCTTTCATTTTCAAGTGCTTTAATATATTTTCGGACTCCATTGTAATGATAATTCACCAAAAGCGAGTGCATTTAAACTTTAATGTCGAGACTCAAGCCACTCTCCTGACATTAGACACTAGCACAACAATGTTTATGTGACGAACTTGTAGAATGTAGCATATTAGACATATTAGAATAACACCCTAATGTTGCAAAATTTGGCGCGGTTTGGCGCGAAACTGATCAAAAACTTTGTCGTATCTTTATTAAAATGTGCTAAGACTTATATTAAATTGTCTTTGCTAAAAAAAAACTTCCTTAAAAGCTTTCTTGAAGTGAATATCGCGACGTTGCTGTTTGTCTGTCTGTCTGTCTGATAAACAGCTCATTCATCGACGAGCATATTTGTTTTTGGCGACAAAACAGATGATATGAAAACGCTAATATGTGGATGTTTGTGTCTGGTTGTGGTCTCTCGCAGTATTCTAAGTCTTCAGATTGCATATATGCCTTATTAGCAAAATTGACCGCATTTGCCTTTGATATTATAGTTTTGAAAACCAGTTACTGTACAATTGATAGACATAAGCTGACAGGAATAATTTTAAATAATATTACGAGCAATACTACAGTACAACACATATTCAAGAACAAAATATTCGAAAAATTCTTAACAAATTTTCAATTACTTTACAACAACACACCAGAGATCAACAAAAATCCCCAGGGAAGCATATTAATACCAGGTTAATATTTAAAAAGAATTATATAGTTACAGTATTAATCCCATGAGGATTCGTTCGACGGTGTAATATCCCTGAGATATTACCCTCCTACCTGAATCATATACAGCTGAGCAATTCTATACTCCTCCACGCTCAAAGGCAAAGGGATGCGATATTCTTTGATAAGCATGTTTTACGATGCGAAATACAACAATCTGTTAAATGTTAACTTTGAATAACATTTTAATGTTCCCGTGGACTATTTATATTTACTACATGGCAAAACCAAGGTCGTCCCTTTGCATCGGATATTCTTGCTCCAATGCTAATCGAATAACTTTCCATAAAGTAAATGTTTCTCCCAGTCGGTGTTATGAAGGGAGAGCCACAAATTCTAAGTGTACTCGAAGATTTAGTGCACAGACACAGCCGGCTGCTTGTTTTACCGGAAGTCAATTTCAATCAGGATTAAGGACGAGCAACCGGAAATGACGTACGTGACACTTCAAGTGGAAAGAGTTGGTTGACTGTCACGAA